ACATGACTCACATTAACAAAAGGAAGTAAAAAAAAAAAAGGAATATGTTTCCTGTGTATAAGAGTTGGTCTAAACGTTATAAGATAATTTATGAAAGAAAATTGTAAAAATCATAATTCTACTGGTTTTACATATTTCCATTAGAGTTTATTTTTCTATGATTTCACAATCTAAAGACCAAAATCAGAATGGAATTGCATCTAAACCAGTTGCAAAACTGGTATTTCAAAAACAATACAAAACAAAAACCAATAATGAAATAAATAAATACAAAATAGATTGAATGAAATCTACCAATTATCAGAAACTCTTGTCAAAACCTTAGTCTTTTTTGCTCTTGCTTTCTTTTGTCAGTTAAATAAAACAATTCTCAATTCTTTCTAGAAATGTTGTGAGGGTCTGGAGCAGAAACTGTGCAGGCAGAGAGAAAGAATAGCAGAGCTGCAGGAGAAACTTTGTTCCATCACAAGAGAAAAAGAAGAAAGTGCAAGGAGTCTGAATTTACGCCACGTCTACAGCAGAACCAGCAAACACAGGTTGTTGTTCTGGACTTTTTGTAGCTTCCTGCTCATATGTGAGTTAAGGGCCGTTGATAAATAAATGGTACATGTAGTATGTAAACTTTCTCAATTCCAACTCATGCCAAAGTTGTTCATCCATATCACACCTAATAGGATAAAAATGATAAGAAACCATATCAGGTATTTATATCCTTGATCATTTCAGCATGCTAAAAGAACACGACACATCTGCTATAAGTGAGTCCAACGGGGATGAAGGCAGAGAAGCCAGACTCTGTGTCCGTTACCACCAAGTGAGTATTTTCTTCTTAACATTTAACTGACTTCAGTTGAAAACTTCTTTGTACAAGTTCAAAGTGGGGCCTGTGCTGTAAAGTCTAATGTTTTTATCTTATAAAATTCTTTTGCAGCTGTTGACTGCGATCAGTGCTGTGGTGACTGATCCCCGCTCTACGTTCCAACTACACAGACACAAATGCGTACATGCTAATTTGGAGCAGAATGACTTTCCTAATCTCCTGTCAACATTAGAGGTCTGGGCTCAACAGCTTTGCCAGCTGAAGGTAAAAAAACATCTTCTTTGAGGATTTTTTATTATAGTTACAGATGAGTTGAGGTTAATTTCTTGGTGCTTAGTTTCAATTCTGATATTTGACACAAGAAACAGTTTTCAATCCCTTTCTGGAAAAACAATTTGCACACTATATTTAGTAGGCGTGTTTATCAAGTCCAAACAATTATGAATCCTACAGTTTTGAGTTGTCCTCCAGCGTATGACTTGCAGTTGTCCAAAATGCTCAATCTGCATTTTTTCATCTTAGTTTTTACCATTACTTTCGTAGCAAAATGGCATCACCCATCTGAGCCTTAGTTCAGAAAATCTATGATAGCCACCATACATTTGCACAACTTTCAACTGATGCTAAAAAGTTTTAGCATGCAGGACAAAAGCCCTTTGCACAAAGTCGTACGAAAGCCATGTGATTGTGAAAACATGATTTGGACTATAGAACTTGTTCTAGTTGTCCAAAAAGGTCAAAAGCTGTGGTCTAAAATTAACTGCATTTGGATTAACGAGTGTATGCACACATCGAATGACAACTTTAATTCTGTAATATAAATGTGCTGGAGTCATGATGGAAAATTCTCTGCATTTGTGTAGGAGCTGCACAAAGGGTTGTTTAAACTGATGTCCAGACTGTTGCCGTGGCAGCTGCCTGATAGTGGACATGCACCTACAGATGCTGGGAAGGTAGAGGACATGATATTACTGCTGGACACCATTCTTGAAAGCACCACAATAGATGAGAAGGTCAAGGTTCGTTGTTATCGTGATACATTTTGTTAAACCAATTCAATGATGCTGTGTGGATGTAAATGGTGTCTGAAAGTCTGGACTTTGTCATATTTATAGTGTCAGGTGCTGAAGAGTCCAACTCGATTTACCTTAGGATCCATGGTATCTCACTTCCAAAAGCTGTTCGATGTCACCTCCATCAGTGGGGTGTACCCACGTATGAACGAGGTTTACACCAGACTGGGCGAGATGACCAATACCATGAGGAACCTCAAAGAACTTTTAGACTTGGGTAAAGTGGTGTAAAATGTTATTGAGAACACAGTAGTCCTAATGAAATGTTGAAAACCGGTTCATTAGGTCACTATCATAAAGCAGTCAATACAGCATGTTGTCAGAGAACCTGTGATTTGCCTGTTAACACAACAGGAGGCCAACATCTTATTTATTGATCAGACCATTATGTTCCTTTACAGGGTATCTGTGATTTATGTTTTTACTCATGCAAGTGGAAAATTGGCTCAACTGCTCCCCCTAATGTCAGAATGAATCCAATTCTTACCATTTACAAAAGAATACCCTTGTTGTGTTTTCCTGACATTGATTGCATAGAACCCACTCAGTTCTGAATGTTTAATACATTATTTAAATGTAAAGTTGATCTTTTCAGAGTTGCGCCTGTCTGAGCCTCAGCTGAGATGATGTTTGCTTTTCTTGTTTCAGACAGTAGAGTTTCTAATGCTGAGGTCATAAACCACGTGGCCAGACTGGTCCATTCCAGTCAGCAGGGTGCCAACTTCTACAATCTGTTGGGAGACGCTGACATTCAGAGGTTCACAAATACACCACTCACGTGTTTGAAATACACCACAGATTCACAGACACTGTGCTCCCATGTCTGTTTCTCTTTTATTTTCAGTATCTTTGTCAAAATAAAGCAACATCAAGAGTTTTTTCCTGCATTCCACGCCCTCATCGTTGACATTTTACAGGTTCTGGGTTAGTAAAGGATGCACACACGAGCTCACACACACAGAGACAGCATGGTTATGGTTCTAATTCGTTACTGGGTGGAAACACCAGAGGACATTGTTTTTTTTCTAAATATTTGGAACTAATATGTTTATTAATATAAAAATTATGAAATACAATTAATATATATTATTTGTATACCCTAACCTTAATCCTCTAGGGGGCCGAATATAATCAGATTGTATACATCAGGGTTTAAAGGACCTCCATTTAACCACTGTAATTACTACAAATGTGCTATTCTCATTGAAGTAGAGCCTTATTAATAATCAAATGTTACCACAACTTAACTGACTCACTAGTTAGTTAGTTAACTGACCATGTTGAACTAACTTGTCCAGCATGTTAGCATCATCTAACGTCTGTCTTTGTTCTCCCAGGAGTCAGACGCCTGGACGACATCATACCCACTCTGAAGTCATTGAAACAGGAAGTACAATGAAAAAACACCTCAACCAACTTGTAGTGCTATGAACTTCAATTATTTATGTTTTTTGTAAAGGTTTCAGCGATGATTAAAGCCAGTCAACCCTCGCTCCCCTGTTACTTGTACATATTATTTTTCCTTGTCTCATGTGAAAAAAATCATGTTTTCTTTATTTGCCTCACAATACAAATACGCCCTGACACAGAAGTAAATACCATTCAACTGGAATGTGTTTGTTATAGCAATACTGCCACCTAGTGGAAGCCAATGAATATGGCTTGACAAGTTTACAATCACTGGCAAGGAATGAAAAATATATAGCTCATACCGCTTTTTTGATTGTCCAAATTTGCCTTCTCTTTTCCTCAGAATTATTTGAACTAGATTTCATGCAAAAGCATGTCAGTATAATTGACTCAGTAACAGATCGCAAATGTTCGAAACCTATTTTTACACCTTTTAATCCTTTAATTATTTTTTAAAAAATTTACTTGTCATTTGGAAATGGGGATTTCTTCATGCTTCTAAGCTAACCAGCTTGTTACAAGCTCCTTTTCATTAAGCTCTACACAGGTGTCGCCCGTCCACGTCTGGAGAAAAGTGGGCGTGTTCAACTATGGTGGGTGCGTTTCCACCTCGCTGTACAATCGGATGATCCTGGGTGGGCGGAGCCAAATATGAGGAAACGCTGCTCTAACTGAGCCCGGAGAAAACCGGCTGCGAGCATCTTCTGTGGATACGGTCGTCATTCATCCTCCACATCACAACACGGTCCTCCGAGCTAAGGGTTCACTCTCCATTGTAAAGAAGAGATAAATCGAACCGCTATCATCAGGCCTCTTCCTACGGCACATTTGTATGCTGTAGTGTTTGTGAAGGGCTTAGAGATTAAGTTGTCAGATAAACGGCTGCGTCAGGATGGAGACGCAGATACATGTGCCCGTTGGCTCGCCCCTCATTCAAAAAATCCCCATTTTTGTTGACGAACACAATGTAACAGAGGGAGCGATGAAACTCATCAAAGAACTGAGACCGACGTGGGACCCCAGCAATGTCCGCATCAAGGTAAATATCTGCTAACCATGCTAGCTTCAGTAAACGCTGATAGTGGAGCTGTTGCTGCAGCATCACCAGGCCGGTGTCGGCGTCGGACTGACACCGCCTCTCACTCTCGAATTAACGATGAACTTGCATTTTTCGGATTTTAAAAACAATAAGTGTAGATATGTAAGCTAAGAGAGTAAAATTCAGCCGTTCGTTGTGGTCCAAATCCATATATTAGTGACACAACGGTTTGAAAATTAGTTAAAAATAATAAATATACATATGTGTGTGTAAATGTTAATCGAATCTTTCTAAATCGTTTAGTTAAATCGTTTGGAGCAAAATTGAAAGAAAGAAATAGTAAAAAAATGTAGGAAAATGTTTGTAAAACAAATCACAATAAAATTGGAAACGTATGACAAATGAATGATTTGTTAATGGGTTTTTGCTTGATTTATGTTGTGAGAGAATTAGGTCGGACGAAGACCTAAAGAAAGGTTTTTGTCTGGTAAATTAAAACACCAAACCGCCTTTTAAACCTACTAACAGTTGAAGTGAGTAAAGCCAATATTATCTCTGTGTCAAAGACACCTGATGATCTAGTGCCCTGAACTTGGACATGTAGCCGTTTGTTACCAATTACAGTACAACGTTCACCAAGATAAACATTTGTTATCAACTCTGACGTGCTTAAAAACAACTTATTGTTTCCTTGATCCATATTTATGGGATTCCAAATTGTTGGAAAATGTCCACTGTCCATTTTGGAATGTTCTTTTTTGGTCACTTGGAGGGTCAAGTTAACCTAGTTGTTTTGAGTTTCTGTTGGTCTTTTTCTTGTACTACCCTCTCAGTTAAAAGTTAAGAAATATTTTTATGCATCTTGTCATGATGCACACTCTATAGGCGGCTTGTTTGTAAAGGCAATAACTAAAGACTAAATTCCTATTGTGGTTAAAATCATCTTGTCATTATAAAGACAAAAAGCACATGTACGATCTGAATGTCAAAACAAAACACTGGGATTATCCGTTTTAATACAGACAGGAGACAAGTTGTATAAATGAACAAATAGAAAGGTTCAAAAATACTTAAATAATTACCATGTATTATAATATTATAATCAATATAAGGCTGGAAAAGTATTACAATTTTTAGTCCGATTACAGGCTAGCTGTGAATGTATCTTCATGTATCATGATTAATCACAATTGCAATAATTAAGTAATCATTATTCATTTTAAATTAATCACCGAAATTTTTAGTTGTGGCTCAAACAGACTCAACATTTCTAGAATGGCCTAGTACTGACGATGCTTTAAGGCCTTTACCATATACATGTGAAACTGTATAATAGAATGTTGTAATGGGCTGAATTTGACCCTCGGGCCTTTTTAAAACATAATAACAAGAGTTAAGATTTGGAACCCAAAAGTCTTGAAAACTGTTCCAGAAGCAAATTTGTCTTAAAAACCATGTCTTGTTCAGTTAATATCCAGTAGCCAACCAGCCTGCACAGTGGGGACACATCTGATGATGACTAATTGAAATTAAATTAAATTATCTTTAATTTTGTTATTATATACTAAAAGTTGGTGTTTGTTTACAACCTGTCAACGTTTAGGGCTTTGACCTGAGGTGAATGGGGAAAACTGATGAAACTGGACCTGCTGATGGTGGTTAATGCTTTTTCTGTGCAACCTCTGTAAATGATGTTACAAGCTCATTTGTTGTTGTGGGATAGTTTAGAGTCCATGAGCTTAAACCTCACAGTTGAAGTGAAAGTGAAAGCCCCGTGAAAGCCCCGTGAAAAGCCCTATCTACTGCACGGAGCTCTGTGTTGAAGTCAGACAGATCCGTGACGTACACAGTTGTCAGTTTACACAGATCACATGGCAGAATGAAGAGACCGTATCAAGTTACTGTCCGGTGTCAGGTGGAGTTTGTACAGTAGGTACATCGTAAACATGGTTTGGTTTAAGTTCACTGATAAAGATTTAACCACTTCTGTTTCTGTTATATTATTATAATTATTATTATACATAATGTGTATTAATATGAGTATTCTTTATAATAATTGTCAACGTAATTATTATCAACAGTGGTATAATACAAATATAACTGCTGTTTAGGCTTTAGGATGTATATATCACATGATACATGGATCTTCAAACTTTGGTGTGTGTCCATCACAGTAGGTTTTCTGGGTCTAAGCTTTAAGGCTGACACCTGAGCTTTTTTTTAAATTCTTTGTGAGTCTATTTGAGTCTCACAAAATGTGACAGTTGTCCCTTGTTAGGAGGTAAAATATGTTTTTTAAGCGTTAAGCCTTCTGTACTGAACTCACATTGCTCACTCTATTGCCTTAATGAGTCAACAGAAGATCAGCAGTTCCAGTATAACTTCCAGATAAAAACAAATTCAAAACTGCGTGGGCGTGTGCTTTTTAAATAATTGATGACCAACTAAAAGTCCATCAATGTGAAATGATTCTGTGGATTACATGGTCATGGATTTATTGTGTTGACCCTCCTCATGACTCCAATCCAATTAAGAGGAAATGGATTACACAGGTAGTTAAATTAGACATCTATCAGATATGCTAGAGGTCATCCCAGATTGCGCTTGTTAGGCAAAGAAAAAAAAAAGACTTAATTGTATCAAGTGTCTGGTAAGTCCAAGGCGTGGCACCATCACCTGTCCCAATTCTCATGATGCTAAGGTTTGAACTCAACCATGGCAACAATGTGTTTCCATCCTGTTGGCTAATCTCTGTGGAGCTAATCAGGCTACCGTGGCTCTGATGCTGTTTGAAATAACTTGATGATATTAGCTTATTCTAACCTAAATCAGACGTTATCCTGAATTTTTTGTTCAGTGTTTCTCGATTAAAGACTTGCTGCTGATCAGACACCAATGTCTGTGATTCTACATTAAAACACACCGGGTTGATTCATTAAAAAGACTGTTCTGAAGAGTCACTGTTCTGGACGCTTTTTAAAAAATATTAAATGTAACTTTTTAAATTATCACTACCTTTTTGTGTACTGATGATTCAAAAGTCATTTTGTCTTTGGCTGTATTAAAAGGTCAGTCTGGTCGTACATGAATGGTCATTATAGAGAGGCCGGCCATGTTTGTAGTCAGCCGTGTAAGGAATGCCAGATATGTACGAGTGAGCGTCTGAGCCAAGGCAGATATCTATGTTATTGTGTCTGCTGCAGTGGCAGTGTCCAGCCCACTGGCCTCCAGTGAGGCTGTGTGAATGTAAATGTTATAAAAGCAATAGACGCATGTTTTATAAATGCCTTATGCTAGGTTTCAGAGAGGCCTACCAATTATTCTACTTTATATTGTAGATGATGCTTTCTTCTACAGCAGAACTTACTAAAATCTAATATATATTTTTTATAGTATATACATTTTTGCATTTGTTTTGAATTTCAAAAGGTTTAAATATTTAGAAATATAAGTAAACATCATCTGTTTTGTAACTTGACAATTTTTCATTGATTATTTTGGTTACCTCGACACTGAGCTTAGATCTGCTGGGGATTTTTTTGCCTGTAAAAGTTGTAAAAAAAAGGGTTTTTTTCTTCTCCTCAAGGTTGAAAAAATGCTGCTCAGTCTGTTTTAATTTTATGTTTTTAATTAAGACTTGTTTTCTATTTGAAAAACATTTTCAATTTTACTTTGTATTGTTAATATAAACAGTATAATAAGTATGGTTAGTACTTAATATAACAATTGCCTCAGTTTTCCTTGTTTATCAGTAGCAAGGCTGCCCGCTGTTTATGTTTTTTATTTTTTCCAGTATTCTGGAACAGTGAATATGGAATCTTATTACCACTGTCACAACATTGGTGTACAGTCCCGCAGATCGGCAGACACTGGCAGAACTGGCAGAAGACGCTAGCAACTGGCTCAAGAATTTTTTAAAACCACAGAAGGCCACTGCCTCCAGCAGTCAGGGAGAGCATGTCCCACTGTTTTTTAAATGTATAACATTTCTCAGAGATACACTTATCTATCCCTGTAGACTATTGTGTCTTGACTGGAGACCCTGAGCTCAATGGCACTGATAGCAGTGAGAAGTTAAAGTGACAGTGGTATTTGGGGATTACTGGTGCGGTGCAGTGAACAGGGTGTTCCTCTAAAATACTTCAAGGATGAGGTTTAAGCTGTAAACAAATACACATAATTGACCTTGCAGGAAAGCAAGATACAAATCTGGAACAATACAATGTCAAAATTCACTGTTGACAAAGACGTTATGGTTTGGGCATATTTTTTACACTTAAATTCTTTCAGGTCGTGGTTCCTTTTTCATGCATTAAATGCAGAGGATGCTTTTTGTGTGTGGGAGAGTGTGTAATGACAACCAAGGCGGCCGCTTTTTCTTTAACTCTTTGTCCTGTCCTTTCAGCTCTTCACAGATGGGACTACCAACAAGCTAGTGGGCTGCTACGTGGAGGAAAGTCCCGAGGACGTTGTGCTGGTGCGAGTGTACGGCAACAAAACGGAGCTGATTGTAGACCGAGACAATGAGCTCAAAAGTTTTCAGGTGGAAATTAGAGCTTTATACAAATGTGGTCTCTTATTTTCAACAAACCAGGGTCATTTGTGTGTATTTGTGTGTTATGTTAAGGTGCTACATGCTAACGGCTGTGCCCCCCGCCTCTACTGCACCTTTCTGAACGGCATCTGCTATGAGTTCATGCAGGGGGATGCTCTTGGGACGCAGGATGTCAGGGATCCTGCACTGCTCAGGTGTGAACATGTCGGGGGCGCCTGTGAGCCCGGGGCCAATGTTGATGAAAAGTATTCTCCAGTTTTGACTTTTTACAAATACCTTTTAAAGAACAAGCAAAAAACTCAATTCTATTTTGCTTAGCTTGTCTTTTTTCCTATGTTCACAAAGCTACCTTTTATTTTTTCTTCTGCAGACTCTAGCTTTTTTGTGGGTTTTTTTTTTTTTGCTGAATTTTAGGTAGATTTTTGACCAAGATTTAGTTATGTAGCTATTCTGACCTTAATTGGATATTTACACTTTAAAGTATTGTAATAGCCTAATACTGTTGTTCAGTAGAAATATATTTTTGCTGCTTTTGTATTTTTATTGTGTTATCTTTATCACTCCATACTACTTTTAAAAGCATACTTTTTTGACAGGCATCTTTTTGATGCCTGTCCTTGTCTAACCTGGCAGAAAAATGCATCTCTCTGTTATTGAGGTTGGATGTTGCCAGATCTTTGAATATTTTGCAATGTCTAAGATTAGTAGCTGCTGAATATAACTTGCTTTTACTTTCGTATCTCCTTTAGACTGATAGCCAGGGAGATGGCTCGTATCCACGCCATCCATGCGCACAACGGCTGTATTCCCAAACCCAACCTGTGGATCAAGATGAGGAAGTACTTCTCTCTTGTGGCCACAGAGTTTACTGAGGAGGCCTCTAACATCAGGTCAGATAAGGGGTTTCATTTGCTTTTTCACACATACACAAAAAGTATACTGTAGTAGAAGTCAATGTAACATACCATCTTTGTAGTTGATCATCAAGTGGTAATAAGTATTAAGTGTTCCTGATTTGTAGTAATGGATCAAATTATTATATTGCCCAGACCTAACCTCAGTAAACGGTCCAGGTATAAAATGGGCAGACAGTTGTAGATGCACTGAGAGCTGCACCCCGCTGTATCCGGCTGCAGTTAGGGCCGTTGTCTCCTGAACCGTACTAAAAAGTGCAAAGAAGCATTTGTTCCCTTCAAGATCGGCTGCTAAAGCTAATCTCTTAATTGCATGTTTGCTCAGTGAGGGTAAAGAAACTGGGGATTTCTGTGATTTTTGTTTTATTTTATTTTTTTTATGAAGCATTCACTCTGTTCTCAGGGTTATTATGTTAATCTGATTCTGGAACTTGTTTAGAACTGCATTACTCATTACTTCTTCTTCAACCTCACCTACAGTACTGCATTCTATAAGCTACATTATTGTCTCCTAGTGGATCTGTTTTTTGTTTTGTTTTTTGGTGAATGAAAAGTACAGAGAGCAGGTAGAATCACTGCTGGTAAACACAGAAGCAGACTTTCTGTAACTGCTCTCAAAACAGTTGTTCCATCAAATGTTAATTTGGCCTAAAATGATAATCTAGACTTGGTAGCTTTTCCAACTTTCTAACCCTTTTACTAAAGTGATAATTGCACTGCTTTAGATACAGTTAAAGAAGCAAAGTCTTTTTTTAGAACCAATATAGGTTTTCTGAGTTCATGATAAAACCATTACCTTTGCATCATGTCACTGAACCTTTGGACTAAGGTTAAACGTTTTAAAACCGAGCCAGCTGTCTAGTCACAGATTTGAGTATCTTTGATGGCCAGTACATTTATTCAAGCAGTTTCTTGTGTAACTATAAGGATATTAGCCCGCAGGATCATGGTGTCTAAGGCATGCAGTGGGTGGTTAGGTGTTTGCCTAGCTTTCAGTGTTGGGTCATTTTCCCCTCTTCCCTAGTAACACAGACAGTTTGACTGTGCTGGTCCTGGACAGCAGGCACTTTTTGCACTGCTTATATAGCATATAAAGGACACGGATCAACACACATTTTCCATTTTCAAACTGGCTTAAACCTGCATGTTGTCTCACCATGTCTGGCTCGGGTGTCTGGTTTCTAAGCAGGGATTTACAATGTAAAGTAATGACACTGGTAAATTGTGTGAGCAATTTAACCAGTAGATCCAGTTTTAACTGGCTGCATGCCAAGATTAGGATGTTGGGTACGATGGTTTTTGTTACAAATGTACAAACATAAATTTATCCATCCCAAATTTGTTTTGTAGCTAAAGAAACATTTGTGTCAAAGTGAACTTATTTGAGAAGGAGAGGCAGTGTAGTCAATATGACAACTCTAGTCTCACAAGAATTGCAAATGGTAGTGCAGCCCAGGTAACAGACTACACCACCTGAGAGTACCTAATTTTGTATAAGCAGTACTTGTTACTATTAATTTCTGCATTTAAAGTATAAATACTATATAAAAAAAAGGTTCTTCGTATTTTCTCGGAATACAAACAAACACACAATGTAAATATATTATATCATATATTCTAATTAAATATGTAAAAACGTATATATGTATAAATATATTTATTCATATACACATATATAGTTACAAATGTACATATATGTTTTAATATATATTGTGCCTATAAGTATAATATAAATATGTGTATACACCATATGTATGTGTATATATTTATATATATACTTGTACTTTATATTTATTTAATTGCTGAAAGCATTTAAACTAAGCCTGTTAACAGTTTAAGGCTTCGTTTAAACATGATTAACAACAACCATAACAACCACATACTTCTTACCGACCTTGTGCTTCTTGTTCGTGACTTGTTCGATTCAGTGTATTTTTGCAACAAGCCTGTTTCTCCGAGCTGTAATCCCAGGAGTTCAGTTAGCCGGTGTCCCACGGGGTCTGTGTGTTGTCTGTGCACGTCGGTCACAGCTGTCCTCATCACAGTTGTTTCTCCTACTGTAGGTGCTCATACCAAATTGATAAAATACGGCACATGCAGCTCCATGGCTGAGTAGTGAAACCGTTCCTGTCACCTGATCTCACCACACTTGTAAAGTACAGTGTTGAATTTGTCCTAACAGGATCCAGCAGGAGGTCCCCAGCAAGGCAGTGCTGGAGCAGGAGATGGTGTGGATGAAGGAGCATCTGTCCACACTGGGCTCTCCAGTGGTGCTCTGCCACAACGACCTGCTCTGCAAAAACATCATCTACAACAACAAAGAGGGTACGTACCCAATATCTTGTAAGATACAGTGAGCAATGGTGGACAGAAACTGCCTCTGTTACTGTGTCATTTTCACCTTACTTTGATTTGAATTATATATAGAGTCTGTCACCTTTGGATAGATTGGATACATCTGATAACAGGTTAGAAAACTAAAAATAACATTAGGTTTTACTTTAGACTGTTAATTTAAACATAGGAATAGAAGAAGGGTGATATTTTAAGTGTTATTTCACTTATCACAAACTCCATTGAGTCCATTGAGACAAATGTGTTTTGTGAAATTTATTTTATTTATTTTTTTCAGGTCATGTTCGGTTCATTGACTATGAATACTCCAGCTACAACTACCAGGCCTTTGACATCGGAAACCACTTCAATGAATTTGCAGGTGTGTTGGATCACAGTGTCAGTCAAAAAAGCACAGAAGGCTTTCGTTGTTGTTGTAGTTTTGCTGTAATAATCCCATAGTTGTCTCTGATTAATTGCAGTGCTGTGCACAAACTGCAGTAATGAACCTAAAGTAGTGAACTAGTGTACTAGTAGTGTTATATCTACGTCTGTGAGCCTGCTACCCACTACTACACTTGACAACCGAGATCACCAGGGAACTGTTTGTTTGATTGTCTGATTGTTTTCAGCCCAAACACTTTACCTGGAACCAACTTACCGGTATGTGTACATTTAAAAAAAATAAATATGTGCAGTAACTTTACACACACTGGTATTATCATGATTGTCAGTATTGGCATTCATTAGTATTCTCATTTTGTTTTGTAGGTTTTCTGTATTGTTTTGTATTTATATTTTTAATATTAGGACCAACATCTTGAAGTATCTCTTTGTGCCTGCAGTCTTGTTGTACAACGACAACAAAGGCTTTCTGTTCTATCGTGACTCTGTTGTTAATATGACTCAGGATTGAACTCTGTGTTCAGGTATGGCTGAGCCGGACTATGGGCTGTATCCAAATCAGGAGATGCAAATGGAGTGGCTGAAGATTTACCTGCAGGCGTACAAACTCTTCACCAAGAACACAGAGGAGGTCAGCGAGAGGGAGCTGGAAACTCTCTACGTACAGGTCAACAAGTTCGCTTTGGTGAGGAGCTAACGTTACTGAACACACGCTTGTACACAAACCAACAAATACTGCAAATGTCACCTCATCTGATCTCTGATCATTTTTTTTGTCTCTTTCATTTTCAAGGCTTCTCACTTTTTCTGGGGCTTCTGGGCTCTCATTCAGGCGAAATACTCCTCCATCGATTTTGACTTTCTTGGGTAAGAGTGTCTGTTTTCTGTTTACTCCTTTAATCCAATTATCATCCTCATATTAACATACTATAAAGAACAGTAAATATATAGTGTGTATATATATAATATATACATATAATATGACTTTAGGACTGTCATTTTCAGGATTCAGTCCATGGTCAAATTAAGGATAAAAAAATTGACTCTTTGTTGTTTCTTGAGAATTATTTTTTCTGGCAATTAGACAATGTTCATACTGAAGTTCGTGAAGAAAATAAGTTCCACACCGGAGACAGCTGGTGTGTAATCACAAGTCAAAACTGTTGTGTTTATTTTTTGCAGTAATTAACTCACACATTTTAAATTACTTTAGTTGGAAATGGAAGTCTAATAGCAAGATAGTGCACTTAGCATGTAAGATAATAAATTGTAGTGGCTGTGTTAGCTTGTAGGCATTAATGACTGTTCATGTTTTAGGAGTTCATGGCAATAAAACCTATGTAAAATAACCTGGTATTTTATTAAGTAGATTATATTTAAGCTAACATTTACCTCAGTTTACTTCCTTGTTTCTTCCCTGCAGGTACGCTGTTCTTCGTTTCAACCAATACTTTAAGACCAAACCTGCAGTGATGGCCATGCAGGTCCCAGAATGAAAGGAGAGCGACGGCAACATGGTCAAGAGAAGAAGACAGACAGGACGATGTATCGGGTTGTTTCCTTTCACACTTCTTCTGCATGGTGGGAACTCTTAGATCTACCTGGAATCCTTCTCTGCAACCAGCACCTGTTCTCTCCTATACTTCCTCTACACATCTGCTTCATGTCACAAGTGATACGAGTTTCCTCGAGTCGTTCATGTGTGAGCGAGTGTATGCCTGTATTTATTATTAATTAATCTGAATAACTCTGACTCCATACTTTCTAGGTAAAGATCACTGACTAAAACACTATTGTCAGACTACCTTCTAACAGTAGTCATATTTCTGTTTCCTTTACAGTTGACAGTTTTTGTTGTAATTCGTCAGCTACAGGCTCTTGTTTTATTGTTATATCCTAACTTTCTTGGCGCTGAGTGCCATTTTGCACTGTATTCCCAGGAACGACGTCGCCACACGTCACAGTATGAGTGGATGCAGCCTGTCTCTACGTCTGTTCATCTATTTCCAGCTGCTGCTTCTAAAATGTGAGCTCTACTGTAGTAAGTGCTTTTGGACTTTTTCCCTGAAGGAGCAGACGCCAAGTCTGTGGAGCACATAATGGGAAAAATCCATTTTAAAACCAACCAAATGTTCAATCACCACTACATACAGTAGACCCTCGGCCCTCGAAGACAATTCATTCCAGAAGGTTGTTCAAGAATTAGTTTGAGATCCGAAACTGTTTTTCCCATTGGAAATAATGTCAATAATTTTTATCTGTTTCAAGACCCCAATAAGTCAATAAGAATTCAACTAAAATCAATATTCAGTTATTTGTGGTCTTTGCTTAGACACTTTAGACACACAGTTTCTTTGATAGCATCTTTGTTTTCAATTATGGTAATAATGGTCGATTTGACCATACCATATCATTGGCCTGATCAGTCACTCGTTACCCTCATAAATCAAACCTTCATGCCATCCATCCATCCGCTTATCCATTACTGGGTCGCGGGGACAGCAGTCTCCACGGCCGCCACCCAAATCACACCGCAACGTACCAGCCCCTCGTGAACCTTCCTGCGGGGAGTGAGTCCACTGGAGGGCGCCAACCGCCCTAACCAGGGTTCGATCTTGCCCGGGAGGTGAACCCTGGGGTTCCACACCAATGACAGAGACATTGCCTCTGGGCCAAAGTGCCACCAAACCTTCATGCTTTGTGATTAATTCTTACTTCTTACTTAAATCTGTTGTTTTCTGTACTACTTTCCTCTTCTCAGTGCCAGTAGAGGTAGTGAGGTGCACTTGCCGACTTTGGAGCCATTATAAGGGGCTTGTAGTGTACAGAATAAAGAGAAACTGTGAAGCACAGCAAGGCGACAACAAACAGGTTGGTCGAGGTCCAAATGTGGTTCGACCTTCGAGGCTAAAATTTTTATTGAACTGTTTGGGTGAAGTCCGAATTATACGAGGTCCAAGGGTCCACTGTATATCAGTCAGTCTTCTTTCCCAGTCATAGAGATACTTATCAACTGTTGACAAATGAAAAAAGGAGTGTCTGAGGTCACAGACAAACATCAACAGAAGCTGATGTTTGTCTTTGACCTCAATATTTCTGTCTGTGTGACTGTGACCATGACTTAGTTCATAGAACGTCTCCAAAAGGTCAGTGAAGTGAGAAGATTTACGTGATTTAATATGCAGTAACTTTGACCCAATGTTTGTGATTCAGTTTTAACTGAGCTTTAAATAATGTATTAAGTTAATTTAAAACAGAAATTCATTCCACTGCTCCTTTTATTTATTGACTTAATGACCTGTTAAGATTCACTCAGAGAACTGTTACAGCCCACATGACAAGAAGTCACTGATCTGACATTTGTCACAATGAAATGAAGTAATTCCTCATTCATACCCTAGGAGGCACTACTGATTGTACTCTGTGAAGATAAAGGGGAGTTGTAAAAAATATTTTAGTGACGTCACTTGAATCAACTGTGTGGGCTGTGAAAATACAAAGTTTTAAAATAAAAATTAAAAAATCTACAGGAGAGAATTTGGATCCATGTTAGCTGACTGATTTTTGTTGTTTGAAGTTCAGACATTTTTTGTTCTGGTGAAAATGTGAAGTTTTCCACATGTGCCGAGTTGTTGATTCTCAGTCCAGAAAATGTTTTTGTACATTAAACAGATGCAGATTTCTGACCTTTGACCCCAAACTAATGCCAGGTATGCACCAACTGAACTGATACCTATATTTTTATTGAAATTAGAGTTCAATTTAAGGATTTACATTTATACAGAGTAACTTCTCACAGCAATTCAGGCTTATAACATATTCTTTGGAGACATATCAAGGCTGTGGCTCCCAAACTTTTCTACAGAGCCTCCCTTTTGTAGGTAGGACTACTGTAAAGCCCCCCATGTCGACACATTCACAGATAACGCTGTTCAAAACTTCACTGATCTTCCTTTAACCACATTAAATCAATCATCATCTTTGGGATGCCTCCATCTGGGAGAAGTATTTTGTACTGCATTCTACTGCTCCATGTCATCATTCTGCAGTGTTTTCATTGCTAGGCCCCACAGAGTTACACTGGAGATGAACTGGCCTTCGGTGGACCTGTATGAGCCACTGCTGGACCGGGTGGAAGACGGCAGTGTGACACAGTGATTGTCTGGAGGAGGAGGTAGGTAGGGTCTGCCTCTGCCCACTTCCATTGTCATAGTCCCAGTCTCCACATACGGACCATAGACAGCCTCTGTAGACAGATGCTGTTTAACCAGTTTTGTGTGGTGGTCAGCAGCAGCCACAGATGCAGTTTTCTCCTGGTGGCTGGAGGGTAGAAGGTGAGGTGGCATCAGGGAGCGCAGCTCTGGAAGCGGTGTGGAAGCTGGGCTAGCATGCAAGCTGGAAGAATGAGTTTCAATATGTGGTGAGGGTGAAGGAGCTGGTGGAGATGGCTTCTCTGTCCCTGTCTGAGGCATGACGGCAGACTCCTGATGCTCACTGGTGGAGGCGCAGGGTTTTCTGCGTCTATTGGCTTTGGCTGATGAAGGTGCTCTGCGTGAGCGACCCTTCCGCTCTGAGGCATCGGTCTCAGCACTGGTACGTGGAGAACCTTTGCAGTTCTTGCTGCAGTGTCTCCTCAGCATGGCGGAGCGAGAGAAGCTCTTACCACAGGCATCACAGATGTAAGGTTTCTCTCCTGTGTGAATGCGTATATGACGCTGCAGATCCCCAGAACCAGCAAAACACTTCCCTGCAGAACACACACAAATCGGGAATCGGTTAAAAAATCGCAAGTCGTTTTGACCCTGGACCCCTGTCTCACTCACCACATGTAGCACAGCTGTGTGGCTTTTCTCCAGTGTGTCTGTTCCTGTGCTTCAGTAACTTTCTCTGTGTGTTGAAAGACTTTCCACACTGATCACAGGTGAAGGTCTTGTCTGTGGCGTGAGTCTTCTTGTGCTCCTTGAGGTTGCTTAAGTTGTTAAATCCTGGGTAGTAGTAACAGACAGATTATTATTGTCCCACAAACACAAAATGTCACAGTTTCTAGATTGGTTAATATAGTCCCACAATGCTAGAAGCTTCTAGGTAAACTCACTTAACAGTTCAAACATCCACATTTGTATATGGAATCTGCATAGTAGCAAGGCGAATTCATTTCAATTTTTTTTTTTTTTTTGCCTCCCACAGTTTTCTCAGTTATTTCTCTGATGTGTAATTGTATTTCCTTTGGTCAAAGAGAACAGCAGTTTAGTAGGAATCACAGTGTTTGAAGTGAAGGTCAGTGAAGGTCAGTGGGCAGCCACAGGGACAGCTGCTCCAACTTCAGACAAGACAAACTTAAGAGACACAGTTATTCGTTAACACACACACATACATCACTTACCTCGACCGCAGATATCACACAGATGTGGCCTCTCTCCTGTGTGGACCACTTTGTGACGTTGGACATCCCCTGATGCTGTAAAACTGCAAATTTCAGAAGAATGTTACAATAAAGTAAACCACCAGATTATTATTGACCTGATTACCCTAAATTTAAGAATAATTGACCTGGAACTAATTTTTTAACCTTTTTTATTAACTAACTAAATGGTAGTAATAATAAAGATACTTAACCCTTTGCCACATAATTCACAGATGTACGGTTTCTCCCCAGAGTGTCGCCGCAAATGAGTCTGTAAATTTCCAGCCTTCAAAACAAAGACAGTGAGTCGAACATTGACAATACAGCGATATAAAGAACAAAAAAGAACACTATACAGTCAGTACAACAATGAACATACAGTAGTTTAAACTTCCTGTTCACCTACAGCGGCACTACAGTTAGATGTTAAAGCAAAACACAATTTTGATTGATACGATATTTAGCCAATGTTTACTACAAGTAGTAATGGAGTAAACCTCATTAAGATAACCTTGAACTTGTAATGAAAGCTTGTACCTGTGAGAAATGTTTTCCACAAATGTTACACTGAAAGGGCTTCTCACCTGCAACACAGATTAAAGAAACAGCTATTAATTAGACACATTTTAACAATTTCAACACGACTGGAAGCGGTATTTAACAATCTATTAACGGTGTGGTAAAGAGGGACGCCACAAATCAACCCGACTTTAAAATTGATTCAATGTCAAGGTGGGATTGGAGCGCCCTCTGCTGGTTCACAGTAAATATTACAACCGATAATCTAACGATTTAAAGCGGTTCGAACTTATTAAAAAGGTCTGTAAAACTTTAGCTCTCATGTTGAAACTGTTTGACAAATACTAAGAGACCTATTTAGATTACAGATGAACATTAAGACATACGAAAACGTTTATTTATAATTATTGAAATTGTAAAATGTTGGTGATATTTTTGGTATTCATTTGAAATGTTTCAACAGCCTTTATTTTAATGTACCACTGGTTGTAGGGTTATTTGTTTACATTAGGCCAGAATTAAGTTGTTGTGTGGAACACAATTTGAGTACCTAATATGTTTCTGTCTAGGAACCCTAGAAATAATCCTAAAAATCTTCTTAGACCTCCATGGAAATTTTGGTAACTTTAATTTACAACTATTCATTTCCTTAATGCATAATCCTATAACTGCAGTGTGTGTTTGTGGCATTATGAAGTAATGTGCGTTAATACCAGTGTGCGAACGCTTGTGTAGCTCCAAGTTGCTCGGGTGTTTGAAAATCTTCCCACACATGTGACAGCGGTGCTGTCTGTTTCCTCTCTGCTGCTGTGGCTTTAGTTTGTCTTCCTCCGGCTCCAAAGGTGAAGGACTGGGATGCTGTGGAGTTGCCGTGGGCTCTACAACATTCTCTTCAGTGACTGCGTTGTCTTCAACCAGAGTCTCTGGAGCCTCAGTTTGAAGAACTGACTCCTCCGGCTGACACTCTTTGGTACAGCTGAGGACAGGTTCGTGGACAGATTCCATGCATATTTCCTCCCAAGCTTTCTGGGACCTCAGGTAGTTGTATTTTTTCAGATACACAGCCTTTTTTGGGCGGACTGGCCTGTTGAGAGAGGAGTCTGCTGGACCAAAGTTGGGAATGTTTAGATTTTCTGACGGCATCAGAGAAGAAACCGGGTTCTTCTCTGATGCTACTGAAGCACTGGAAGGATTGGGCTGAAGTAAGGTTCCTGAGTCTACAGGTGAGCTGTTGTCCCCGTGACTGATCCCCAGAGAACACTGCTGCTCTTCAATCACCAACAAAGGACCTGGACCTTGAATTGAGTTTGCATTACTTGTCTCAAGTGCGCTCTGTTTAAAGTATTGTTTGCTGTAGAAGTTGCGCAGTTTGTAGCCATGGACTAACTGTTTCTCTGCAGGTGCCTGGTTGCTGTTAGATGGTTTACAGCCTGAACTGCTGGTAGAGGAAGAAAAAGACATTTTTTTGGTGTGGTCTGTGTCAGTGCTGGACCCAGGTCTCTGGGCCTCAGAGAGACAGTGGAGGTCAACATCGTGTGGTAGACTGCTCCCTAGGAGGCAGTCATGCTCAGTGCCCAACAGAGAGAAGGGTGGAATTTCCACAGGTGGAGGACAAGGTTTGAGGAAAGTGTTACACAAGCTCTGCACATTTGGGACCTGCAAGCACTGGGCGATGTCCAGGAGTGCTTGTACATTATCCTGGTTTATGTCGAGATGGGAGGTGTACATATAGTCCAATACTTGGCCAATGCCACCCACATCCTGGATCACCAAGTTAAAAACGTCATTCTTCTGACTTGGTGAATTTTGAAACAAAGACCTGAAACAAAAAAGTTTCAAAACATTACATAAATTCCATTTTTTTTCCAGAAATTTGTATCATTGCTACTCTGAAGGATAATGAACATATCACTGCCAAACAAAAAACTCAACTAAAAAACATACCTGCATTAAAACAGGTGTGATTCTCTCTTTTTTTACTGGTTTGTGCTATTTTAACTGATCTTGTAAAATACCTGGCACAGTAATCAGGTGGCTTGTTTTTTTTTTGTTTTTTAATGTAAGTTCTTTCTTTGCATCCATTCAACTGCACACCTGTACATTTGCTTTAACAATAGAGAAGGAAAAAAAGCACCTGAAGTAAGAACTGAATGCTGCCAGGACATTTTTGTGTGCTTTAAAGCAGACACCTTTCACCACCAGCATGCAGTCACACAGTAACCCCTGGATCCTCTGCTCCTGGAGCTGCTGCAGCAGGTATGAACTATGGCTGGATAGAGTGTCCATGTTCACTGTGCTGCTGTTCTTGGAGCTGCTGCTGCGAAGCACTCAGATCCAAGTTTTTTATCGCACAGCTGTCCAGGAAGACACAAAAAACCTTTGTTATTTTTTTCACTAAATGTAGAGAACTGTTTTGTCATATCAAGTATACTTTTAAGAGAACTAAATAAACTCATTTTGTGGACTGAATTTAAACAAGGATTTAGGTTCACTTATAGGAAAAATTAGTTGCTTCAGTTTCTGTGAACTAGTATTAGTATATAGACAAACCATACATGCATACATTTCTTCTTCTTTCTTTTCCTTTTTTTAGGCGTTAAACACCAGCAGCTTCAGAGTGCTGTGGATCAGTTGATGCCTCAACAAATTATAGGTAAAGATTTGATCTCAGATATTGTTTGTGTATATGCTGATGTGATTACTTGCTTCAAAGCTGAGAGCATGTAAATGTAGTAGTAATGCCCTAATCACCATAAAAGTTCAATATAAAAACAGTCCATTTACCATTCAAAAGTATACTGGGTAGAATTTACCAACATCTAATGGTTAGGTTACATACGGTGGGTGAAATAAGATGTTAATTAATACCACCCTAATATTTCACACAGTTGCTTTAATAATGCGAAACGATAGAATAATACTCCATCCCATTAGCTGCTACACGGTGGTGGGAACACTTCTTCACCTGCAATTGAAACTCTACGACACATGACGTTGATGGAAGACCACCCATGCAAAAATTGGACGAAAATTTCGATCGAGTCGTAATAAGCTAAATTGTTTTCCATGCCACGTCTATTTTAACTATCATTTACCAAAATGTAATTTGTAGTCATATAAAACGACTAAATGTTTGTTAACAAATAATATGAACTGAAATTAAAGGTCTTACTTCTGTTTTTGGATGATGGGTCACTTTTTCGAGGGTAGCTTCTTTATGTCACTTCCGGGTGCAACAGGAATATTTATTTATTTATAAACTCATAAAGGCCAGCAAAATTACGCGTATTCAACGCATATAGTGTGTAAAAGCCTTCAACATTTAAAAACATTGAGTAAATGTTTTAGCCATATGTATTGCCTGTAGTTTCTAAATTAACATTAGATAAAATATTGCGGTACTTTACCTGGGTAGGAACTAATACGAAGCTGGTGTTCCACACGGACAGCAATCGGTATTGCACATTTTCGGTCATGTGTGTTTTGAAAAGTTTATGCGCATGTGAGTGAATGTAAAGTGATAGTCTAGGGGTGTTTAATTGTAAATTTTTATCTTAAATACTATTTTTGTATTTATTAATTTTTGTACGCTTCTGCTACACATCGTTACCGGTTCATTTAACCAAGCGCCACATTTGTAATATTTTTGTTCGTTAAAATAGCTAACGATAGCCCGTATTTTCCCCCGTAGGACAACTTCTGGCTATTTTGGCAGCTTATCTTGAAGGGTACAACAGGGTCATTTATTTAGAAAATTTTGGGGCGATTGTTGAAGTCGCAAAATGGTGTTTTTTACTTGCAACGCTTGCGGCGAATCTCTGAAAAAAGCTCAAGTGGAGAAACATGTGAACATGTGCCGGGGTTGCCAGGTCCTCTCCTGCATCGACTGTGGAAAAGATTTCTGGTAATGTCCAAGCTATTTTTTTGTCTTTACTGTAGTATAGAAACCAAGGAAGCGCCCATCTACAAGCAGGCTGCACCTTTGAGGGAAAAAAACACTGTTTCGTCATTTCCTTTTCTCTCCTGCCAATTTCTGCTTAGCCATTTTGAATTAACTATGATCTTAGTTGAATGAAAGGAAAGCATGGTCTGTCGTAGTGGTGGGGCAATGTTTATTTATACAATAGTAGGTCCACTAAAAAGTATCCATGTAGCAGATCTCTGACTTCAGTAAGGTCCATTGTTATACAGACCATGAAATTAAATTGTAATGGGAAATCACATGTCTATAATGGTGTCCATTATGAACAGGGGCGATGACTACAAGAATCACATCAAATGTATTAGCGAAGATCAGAAATATGGAGGCAAAGGCTTTGAGGCCAAGGCGAACAAAGGAGATGTGAAACAGCAGCAGTGGATTCAGGTGAGTTTTAGAAATAATGCTGTAGTTTATCATTCTATTGGCACTTTATTTTAATTGACATATATTTGCTCACCACCATCATCTTAAAAAAGGTTAATGTCATCCTTGTTTTACTCTAGTATTCTGTAAGTAAACCTCTTTAATTTTTAACTTGTTTTACCAAAGAAAGTCAATGAGGCCATGAACAAACCTGGAGTCAGTGCAAAGCTAAAGGATGTCCTTAAACAAATTAGTTCCTATGATAACATCCCAAGAAAGAAGGCCAAGTTCCAGGTGGGTGTTTTTGTTTTGTTCCCACTTTAACAGCAAATTCTATCTGTTTAATCAGCTACAACATACTCACCATTAAACTTGCTGTGCCTTATTTTCAGAACTGGATGAAAAACAGTCTGAAAATAAACAACACCGCTCTTCATGAAGAAGTATGGAACATTCTTTCTGCAGCCGATGCTGTAAGTTCAGCTGCTTAAACTGTTGTTGTTGCTCTTCCTAAACTTTCATTATGTTGTATAGTATGTTGTGTAGTTGAATTAAGTCTGTATGTGACCTGTCTGTATGTCTGTTAAATTAGTAGAGCTGTGGTAAATCTTAGTTAAAATGTGTTAAAAAAATTTATAAGATTAAGACAATCATTTTGACAGACCTACTAAACTATCTTTGTTACAAAGACACTGGTTTTCAATAACCACGTCGACTTTCTCAAAACCATGGTAGGAGTCGGATGTTCCTCCGCAGACCAAAAAAGACAAAGAGACTTCAGCTCATGGGCACATCAATGGAACTGAAAATGGCGAAACACAGGCAGAAAAGAAGAAAATGAACAAAAGGGAGCGGAAATTGGCTCGTCAGCAGAAAAATGGCAAAGCCAAGGAGAATGTAGAGGAGATGGCTGCACCGGAACAAGTGGAAGAAAAGAAAGGAAAAAAGACCAAAAAGGACAGAAAAAGGAAACGTAGCAATGATGACACAGACGAAGAGCAAGAGTGCAATGATGAAAATGAGAAATCCAGCAAGAAAACAAAGAGTAAGCTGTTTTGGTTTCCAAACCTTTTCTGCAGTCAATTCCCCTGAGTTGACAACATTAACAGGTTTTGCTTCAAAACTCAGATGACCTTTATTTATATATTTTTTTTACATCATAAACAATATGCATTCTCACAGAAAAACTTACAAATTAGTGCATTTTTCTAACTGCGACATGATAAAAAAATCAATAAATTAAGTAAGTTTACCCTGCAATAACTGCACCCTCCACTTTGTGAACCAACGCTTTATCAAGATATTCCAGACTTACATGCTTTAACTCCTCTATGTCATCTTACCTAGTTGCCAAAAAGACAACTGCTGATGTTTCCATGTCAGAAGAAACTGAGGACCAAACAGCTTCCAAAGGTAACACAACTTCAGCTTTAAAGGTCTCTGTTTCTAACATCACCTGCATTAGAGAATACAATGTGTTGTATTATTCTCTACCAAATTTACATAATCTTCAAGTAAAATGATTGTTAGCTGTGGGAGACCATACTCTCTTTTGGAAAATATTTATGTACTTGTTTATTGAGATTAAGTTGCATAATTATTATGTATATCAATGATAAATGTCCGTTCCATAGTTCAGTGGTTAGCACGCCTGCCTTGGAAGCAGAGAGCAGAGTCCTGGGTTCCACTCCAGGGAGACCACAGGCTTGGCGCAGATCTGTTGTTAACGCAATAATTTCCCTAATATGGGATCAATAACATTGACATTATTATTATTATTAATCAAACAATGTGAAATGAACTTAACCAAAATCAATGACATGTTGTCACTACACATTACAACGTCTACCACTTAAATAGAGTCAATAATTAGATTACATCTGACAATTGTAAAAAAAAAATAGAATAAAACCAAAACTCAAGACTGCATGAAATTCAGGCATTCAAGTCTGTGTTTTGTACTTGGGTTTACAGGTAAATTCAACTGGAAGGGAACCATTAAGGCAGTGCTGAGAGACTCGCCTGACCAGGAAATGTCACTGAAGAAAGTCAGAAAGAAGGTGAGGAACTGTACTTGAACACATATTTCGAGTACACAAGTCATACTTTTATATACATTGTTTTTGCTCAATGGAAAAAGGGAGAGGAAAGACAGTTAGGGAATATAGACACTGTGGAGTGGAGCTTGTGGCACATGTTTTTCTGACTTGGCAAACAACTTAAATTAAAAAAAAAACATGTCTGCATATAATAATATTTGATATTATACAGGTTGGAGCAGGTTCTCAAAACTACACCCAAGTGTCTGTGTGTTCATTCCTATTCCTTGGAATATCACCTGTGTTATGGTAAAACCTTTGCAATTTTTGGTTGACAGTTGTAGGATGAAGAAAGTGGCCACAGCCTTCTGTTGAACACTCCTTTATGTCTGTGACTAAGTTAGGGTTCTAAGGCGGTACTTGGATTTCTTGAGATAATATGAAGGTCCATCACTGAAGAGAGCAGGATAAATTGTTCACCTTGCAGCATAATTTGATCTGGAACTTTATGAATGTTGACGAATCCCCTTCAAGTGTTTGGATAAATAATTGTTGCAAAAATAACTTTAAGCTCAACAGATAATCCTTACTTAAAGTTATTAAAGTTTTGACAGAAAACTGTGACGTATGAAAAGAGACATACGACAACTAAATGTTGAGCTTGTTCTGTTTTCCACAGGTCTTGGCGGCATATTATTCTTTTGCTGGTGAGGAAAACTTCAAAACCGAGGAGCAGGTGTATGCACTCTTTAACAAGAAGATCAACAACAATCCCAAGTTTAGAGTCTTGAAAGACAAAGTTAAACTTGTGAAGTAAATTTATTAATGCTGCTCATATGATATAAAATGTACAGTGTTAATAGACTTTTACAAACCTAAAGTCAGAATTTTCTCTTTCTTTATGTGGCTGTTTTACAGACTGACTGTTTTTATAAAGCAACTATGTACCCTACCCCCCCGACCCCCATCTTGTATTGTGTCATGCATGAAATGACAATTGTTCTGAACGCTTACTCCCCTAAATTCCAAGGTCATTGTAAGGCTGGGAAGTTGCACCTTATCTGAGGTATTGGATTTTGGAAGTGGGGGAAGGGAAACAGGAGCGGTGCACCCGGGGTGAATTTGACTCTGGTGTGGGACAAAGCTAATGCACATTCCTAGGCACCCCGAACGGGGTTCACTTGGCCATGGACACAGAAGCTCCATACAAGCAAGATGCTTGGTGTCAGCCTCGGGTGAAGTTTTAATGCTTTCTGATTTTCTCCACTGCTAGAATGAGTAGCCTTTTTAGCCCATGTACGCACACACAACCACACACACGGAGGATGAGGAGAGCAGGGCCAGCTTTATGAAGCTGTGCTAATCCCAGCAGGTTTAACACTGATGCTCATTCATGACACTGCCTACCTGTAATTGTATATTACATACTTTGGGAATTAGTCAGGCTGTGACTCAGGTTTGCTGGTGTTAAATTGATGTTTTGTAGTCGGTCGAGGGTCTCAACTTTACCTAAGGCTATTTGTTTCAATCCAGACGAGAGAATATTTTGGATAAACTGAAACCAGGGCTACATTTACTGCTGCACAGTAATGTAATGCACAATATTGTTTGAGGGGGGAGCATCTTTGACCTCTGTGTATATACTAGTAGTTTAATGAGGGGGAGCATCTTTGACCTCTGTGTATATGTATATATGTGTATGTATATATATATATATATTAACATATTCATATATACTCATATATGTATGTCATTAAATATGATGGAGACATTCAATGTTTACATTGTTTATGATTGACATATTTGAGTCGCTGCCTTCCAGGAACTCACCATGTAAAGTACCATGTCCCACAGGAGCTGCTGGTTCTATTCTACACAGTCCTTCCAGTGAAACTCGTTGTTTTGTTCAGATCGTCTCCAGGGTAAAGAAGACGCCAGGTGACATCATCAATGATCCTTCACACCTGGCAAACTTTGTTCCAACCACTGCCCTCTGGTAGGTGCTACAGGACAAAACATGCAACCATTGCTAGATTCCAGAACACTTTTTACAGACAGGCCATCCCTCTGGTCTACTCCACATAAATAAACAACAATATTGAATAACGCAATATACCCACAATTCAACATGTTTCATGTTAAAATCTACCTCCCCTCAAGGTCTTTAGTTTACCTTCCTTGCAATCTGTTTGATACTGTCCACTTTTATGTAACCTTTTTATCCTTTTTATGTTTAGCCCTGTCCTATATTGACAGTATAAAAAATTGAGTCAAATTCCTTGTATGTGCTTTAAATCTAAATCGGCAAATACAACTGAATCAGATTTTTCTAATATTCATAAATTGTATTATTCTTAGAGTACACACTGCAGTCGCTGTGTGTGTTTTTGATGTGTGCATGCAGAGTAATTGGATAGGGGCAGTTATGGAGGGAATGCAACTAATAATCCTACAATTGGAAGTCAACCTGTTTTAAATACTAAGCCACTGTAACTTCAAAGTCATGTATTTTGGTGCAGATGCACAAATGTCTGAGTTAATCTTTTTGATTTTTCCAAGGCTGAACCTAACCTTAAAACATGACTTGGTCGTAACATGATTGTTTCATCAACATTCTTTGTGATCATCATTAAGTTTCAGCAGCCGCGGTGGTGGCAGCAGCAGCAGCAGCATACCACACCTCCACGGTAAGATTTAATTATTACTGTTGTATTGATTCATATTATACCCTATAAACAGACACTTTATCCCCTCTCCTGTGGCCTGCCTTGGCCTTGTTGAATGTTTTTAATGATAGTGAGACAGGTTTGAGTATGAGCGAGGTCACATTCTTGCCAGTGCTCTGTAAATGTAGACATTGGAGATAAACATCGGAGAACAGCTATCTAGTATGCATTCTGCAGGGTTTAGGTGAAATAGCAGTCGATGTGCCTGTGTCTGTGTGAACGATCTTGGTTCCCTTTATCATTTTACAGCTGATAGACCCTGTTTCTGTTCATGTGGCATATCTTTAAAGATTTGCTTTGTAACATGTAGAAGGATTTAGTGAAAAATAGGTCTTTAATATATTGGCCTAAGAATAAACCAGGTGACATTCTAACTGTATGGAGAGTGAGGCTATTTTTGGAGATTTTTTATCACATAGATTCTAATAAAGGGCTTCAGCATCATACTATGTTCACATACTGCATATTTAGGTCCTGCAACTTTAAATGAACCCCTGTGACAACAGAAATGTTAACATTTTGAATCTTTTGTTGATAATAATGTACAAGATGAGATGTAAAATTATCAACCCACAAAAGCTTTACATTGTCTCTTTAATGGTCCTTCTAAACATGGGTCTGTTAATTATGTCTGTTTTGGTATTTATGTACAGTACTTAAGGAAATGGTTCTGACCTATGGATGGTGATACAGTAAGTACACATCAGTATTTGATGTACTTTAAAGACAACAGTTATTCAAGCATAACTTGATTTTGTTAGTTTGGATTTCCTTTTGTCTAGTGCCATTTTAGACTGTTTCAGTTTAAATGACAGTTAACTAAAGAATAGGTTTATTGCCAAACTACACATTTGAATTTTTTTATTGAATGATATACCGACTTGAATGTAAGCTGGGTTTGTATTTAGTAGTAACGATTTTGATCAAATGTTAAAAAAAAAAAAAATGCGTAAAAAAACTACAGTAGTCGCTGTCCTTTACGTCATAAAAAAACGACTCATTGGCTCGGCTCTCTGTTTGCAGGGCTACAACAGCTAAAGACCTCGGCTTGTTTCGGATTTACAGCATTAGGATAATGCAGCTGGACGACAGCGATCTTGCGACCCTAAGAAACCGGTTTAAAAGAGATGCCGAGTTTCTTCTCCAAGCAACGACACCGTGTGACGAAGATAAAAAGAGTAAGACAAGATTCAACAACGTAGGCTAACCCCATTAGCCAACTTTGACAACTTTTCTGTTTGAGCTAGGTTTACTGTCCAAACCGTGAATAACACCCTTTCTGTGAAGGCTAATGGTCCACATACTAACCTAGGCTGTGACATGGGTTAAATTGACAGCCAACCGCAGTGAAAGTACGTCCTGTCTGCCCGACAGAACAAACCGGTTAACCTGTCTGTTGTTGTCTCGGTGAGAATGAGGTCTCACTGTGTGTAGGAGTGTGTTACATGTGTTTGTGCACTCCTTCATTGTGTCGAGTTTGGCAGGTCACACCACAGTGTAACAGGATCCTCCCAGTGTTGGAGAATAATGCCAGAGGTGTAACGCACCCACAGTTGTTTGTTAACGGCCTACCGGAGCTCCACGGTGAACTATGATATGGTCTCCGTCACATGGGCTGAAGGCTTGGTTAATAAAATTGACAAAAAATCTAATGCGTGAAATAAAATTGGTTCAACTCTTAGGGTGGAATACTAATAGTAACTGGCCAGACCTTTATGGGTATTAGTTTAAATAGAACTGTTTTAATATACGCCTCAGTTGTGGGGTTTTGTACGGAGGAATAGAAATCAAGACTTTTATTTTGTAAACTACATTATAATGTAAAAGCAAAGGAACAAGTTTATCCTTAGAGCTACAGGGATAAGAATTTAATATAAAGATGAACAATTAATCGCACATAAAGCCATAAAATTTGACGATGATGATTGGATACATTT